CACAGGCAAATCTGTCTCCGTCCTAAAGGGGCACCTGCACAACAGCTTGCAGAACAGGTCTTTTGGAATAGCCTGGCTGGAACACATAAATTAACCCTTTCAACTACGGAAGAAAGCCAGCCTGACCTGAGGCCCAGAGAAAAACTGCCTTGGGCAGAGCAAGGGAAAGATGTGATGATCCCTGAGCCTGAGAGGCTTCCCTGTCTTCACTCTCCTTTCCATTCCCTCTAACAAAGCAAGATTCTTCACAGCACGAATCCATAACTTTACTGGAGACCAAGAATGAATGAAACACAAAAGAAAGGTGCTCCGTGAGGAGAGTTCCAAGATAATTATCGTTCCCCCTCCTGCCCAGACCTCAGATAGGAAGTCCAAGGCTCCCACTCTCTGGTCCCAGCCTTGGCTTCTGACAGATGCCAGGAGCAAACCTCTGGTTTAATCCTATGAATTATGGCATCTCCTCTCACTGGCAAGTTCACTTCCACTTTCCTCTTGGTGGAATCCTTTCTTGGTGCAGCTTAGGAGGAGAGAGCAACATCCTGGAAGCGAAGCAACCAACGCATCACCCCACAGAGTGACACACCTCAAGTGGTAACTTTCGCACGGTCCACGCCTAACCACATTCTCTTCTGCCTGTCTACTTCTGGTTTACTAAAGGCCAAATTCCGCTAATATTCTTAAAACAGAAAAGGGATATTTTCCCATATTCGCTCTCTAAGGCGTAAAGGAATAACAAAAGGTCTTTCTGGCCAACCCAGGATGTTCTCTGCCACTACACAAACTTGCGTGAGCGCGCGCGAATGAGCGCCTACGGGTTTTCTCTCTCTCTCTCTCTCTCTCTCTCTCTCTCTCTCGTCCTCCCCTTTCTCCCTCCCTCCCCATCTTTCCCTCTTTCTTTCTCCTCACTTCTCCCTTCGCCTATGCTGTCTCTCTACTGTGAAGATGCCACCCCAGCCCTGGAAGGACAGAAAAACGAGTCTAGAAGTCTGCTCTCAGCTTGGGACAGCTCCCGGTCCGGACAGCTCCCAGGCAAGGCCCAAGCGGGGTTTGCCTGCTTCCCTCCCCCTCGCAGCCTTCCCCCGCTCATCCTCACCTCGCATTCTGGTACCGCCACTGCCACCTCCGCCACCGCCTCCAGTGGGAGAATTGGGCCCGGCTGACTGTTTGCGCCATCCTCGCCAGTTCTGGCAAAGGCTCTCGGCCTCGGAGATGAACGAACAGAGTGAATCCTCCTCAAAGCGGTCGGAATCCTCGAACGAGAAGCGCTCGCCGTCCTCCCACTCCGCGAACATCAGCTCCATGGGGCCCGCACCCCCCGGGGCCGGGTCTCCCCCCGCGGATCCGGGGCCTGGGCCGCCGGCCGGGGACTGAGGGGAGGCCCGGGGCCTGAGGGGCGAGCCGGGGCTGGGGGTGGCCGGGGCGCTCAGGGCGGCCGTGCCGGGCGAGGATCTCGGGCCTGGGAGGGACGCCGGGACAGGCCTCACCCAACAGCGAGGTGCGAGCGGGGATTGTGGCCAGTCTGCGAGACTCGAGGCCCGGACGAAGCGCTGGGCGGTCAGGGCCTCTAGGCGGCTGCGGCGCCGCCTCCCCCATCAGCTGATCCGAACTTCCGGCCGCGCCGGCCATCACCACTTCCGCCCTCGCGTGCTCCGGGCCTGGACCGGGTACGGGCGGGTGTAGGGGACACGTGTGTGCACTGCCTGCTGTTTTCTCGAGCCTACCCTCACCCACAGCTCCCAAAGGAATACTAAACAGCCACAGATTCCAGCAGTTACTTGATGCCCACAATGCCCCCAAGGAAGAAACAGCCGCCGTTCACGTAGAGAATCTCAGGCTGTCAGGGGATAGTGCAAGTGACCATTGGCTAGGTTATTGTCACGCCCCGGGATAGCCCTGAGCCCGCATCGCCTTCTGGGAGTTGCAGTCCAGAACCTAAAATCCAGCCACTTTCTAGAGTCTAAGGGGGAGCGCCAGGAAAGAAAGCTTGTCCTTTTCCTAGATACTGCCTTTGAATCTAAAGATTTTTAGTGTGTGTGTGTGTGTGTCTGTGTGTATGTGCGCGCGCGCGCGATGTAAGCCTTTTATCAGTCTAGGGAAGTTCATGGGTGCCCTCCACCTCGCCTGATTGTTTATGAATTACACACTAATTAGGTTTAAATACAACTACAAAGACTTTAATAAAACAAACTTGTAACATAGTACTGTTTATTTGTACAGTAAACACCAAGACCGGGCAGAGTATTTAATTAATTGATAATGTTTACCTAGCATTGACAAGTCCCTGGGTTTTATGCCTAGCCACCCCCCCCCAAATTATTTCATATGGACACTAATGCTACTGTCGATTGTTTCCTATAACCTTGATTGAAATGCTAAATTTCAGCTATGGTTAGATGTATTTCTCCTCATCCCAGTTAAGAGAATTCTTACCACACTACTGAGAATCTACTGACCCTAGGTTTAGACTCCTTAATCTAAAATTCTCAAAAACTGAATTTCTTCATATAACTAAAAGATCCAGCTTGCAGAGCCAAGCAGTAGTAGCGGAATACACAATTATGGGAAAATGTAGCTATTGAGGGTCACGGAGGAAAGACCCCTCTTTACTTCAGTAATTATCACACTAGACCACATTTAATGCCATCAACTAGAAGGAAAGGGTTAGCTTGATTATGCCTGAGGAGGCAGAGCATAGGTAAAACCCTACACAATGACTCCTACTATTAGGGAACAGTAAATACCTTCAGCAAGCAGTAGACAAATAGAAGAAAAACCCAGTAACTTACAATGAGGTTAATTCTCTGCTGAATCTTAGCTCTACCATGTGGGAGGATTAGTGGAAAGACACGGGGCTATTAGGACAGATAGATGATAATCAGCTCTGCCCAACTATTTAGTAAGAGAAAATAGTTCCAGGAGGGTGTGTGTGGACAGATTTTATCTTCAATTTGGACTGTAGTCAGGTAAATATTAAGTTTATAACATAGCGCTGCTTATTGATAATTAAGCAAGACCAGGAAGAACATATAATTCTTTGGTGATGTTTGCATCCTTAACATTTATTTTTATTTTATGTGCTGCATTGGTGTTTTGTCTGCACATCTGTGTGAGCATGTCAGATTCCCTGGAACTAGAGTTACAGACAGTTGTGAGCTGCCATGTGGGTGCTGGGGATTGAACCTGGGTCCTGCGGAAGCTTAGCCAGTGCTGTTGACCACTGAACCATCATCTCTCCAGCCCCAATGTTTGCACTTTTTAAAGCAACTTTTAAAAAAAGATTTATCTTTTTGTTTTTTTGAGACAAGTTCTTTATGGCCTTGGTCAGAGGTCTGTTTGCCTCCTAAGTCCTGGGACAAAAGGCAGCATGTACCACCATACAGGTTGATTTTGTTTGCTTGTTTAGTTTTTCAAATCAGGGTTTCTCTGTGTATCTTTGTCTGTCCTAGAACTCACTCTGTAGATAAGGCTGGTCTTGAATTCACAGAGATCCACCTGCCTCTGCCTCCCAAGTGCTTGTATTAAAGATGCGTGCCACAACAGCCTACCTACCATACAGGTTTTTTTTTTTTTTTTTTTCTTTTTTTGATTTTTCGAGACAGGGTTTCTCTGTAGCTTTTTTGGTTCCTGTCCTGGAACTAGCTCTTGTAGACCAGGCTGGCCTCAAACTCACAGAGATCCGTCTGCCTCTGCCTCCCGAGTGCCATACAGGTTTTTATCGTGTGTATCTGTCTGTAAGTGCACTTGAAAGCTCCAGAACAGAATGTCAGGTCTCCTGGAGCCAGTTATAGGCAGTTGAGGTACTATGGTTGCTGTGGAACCCAATGCCAATCCTCTGCAAAAGTAGCAAGCACCTTTAAATGTAGAGCCATCTCTCTACCTCCCAAAAACTATTCTTTTTTTTTTTTTTTTTTTTTTGGTTTTTCAAGACAGGGTTTCTCTGTGGTTTTGGAGCCTGTCCTGGAACTAGCTCTTGTAGACCAGGCTGGTCTCGAACTAACAGAGATCCGCCTGCCTCTGCCTCCCGAGTGCTGGGATTAAAGGCGTGCGCCACCACCGCCCGGCCCAAAAACTATTCTTAATTATACAAATCAAAATATATCTACAGGACGTCTGTGTCATAAGTTTATGTACTTTCTTCAGGAATACTTTGGACAGACTATTTTATTTTTTTGAGACAGGGTTTCTCTGTGTAGCTTTGCTGTCCTGGAACTCACTCTGTAGAGCCTTAAATTCACAGAGACTCACCTGTCTCTGCCTCCTGAATGCTGGGAATAAAGGTGTGCCACCACTGCCCAGCTGGACAGACTATTCTTGAAGTATGCACTCACTGAATTCAGCTGAAGGCAAAAAAGCTCTGCATACACAGGGATTTCACCACCACATCTGTATTTAAAAGCAAAAGCACTAAATGGTGTAAAGAACTTGGAAGGCAACAAAGGCCTCCATACTTGTTCAAGAGCATATCCGGTCCAGGAAGTAGTGGAGGATGCATTAACCCCAGCACTTAGGAGGCAAAAGCAGGCAGATCTCTGAGTTATTTGAGGGCAGAGAATTTCCAGGACAGCCAGTGCTAAACAGAGAAACCCTGTCTCAAAAAAACAAACCAATACAAACAAAATAATAATAAAAAGAAGAGCATATCAGGAAACAAAGCACTTGCAAAGTCTAGAGTACAGGGCTCAAGAAAGGGTTAGCTCTGTGGTTCAGTGCTTGTCTAATGCTGGGAAAGGCCAAGAGGTTCATCTTCGGGATGGGGGTTGGCTATGAGGAGGGAGTATCTCTTTTTTTTTTTTTTTGGTGTTTTTCGAGACAGGGTTTTTCTGTGGCTTTGGAGCCTGTCCTGGAACTAGCTCTGTAGACCAGGCTGGCCTCGAACTCACAGAGATCCGCCTGCCTCTGCCTCCCGAGTGCTGGGATTAAAGGCGTGCGCCACCACCGCCTGGCTGAGGAGGGAGTATCTCATGAGAAAAAATGGCCATGGTTCATTCACAAGAGCAAAATTAAGTCCTTTGACTCATTTTATTCTTCAAAAACCCTAACATGCCTCTGGATAGCATTCAGAAATGAATTAAATGAATGATAGTTCATTTAAAATGTCTCTCCATTTTCAGCTGAGGTGAGATTTGTTGGGAAATCTCTGTAATAACTTGGTCATTTTGTGGGGAGGTAAACTCTCAGACTGCTCCAGAGTCTCGTGGATTGACCTCATCTTCCTGGCTTCCTGAAAACACAACAGAAAGAAAAATAACAGTTCTTCAGTTTACTATGCCCTAGACCCATAAATTTTTATAATACTCCAAACCCCAAGAGACCCTGCCTCAAAGAATAAAGTAGAAGAGAAATGGAGGAAAATTCCAGGCAGTGAACTCTGGTCACCACACAACACTGGTGTCCCCTGCATATTCGAACACGCATGAACTTACATCCACACCCCGGAATGAAGAAAGAAAAAAAGGGGGTTTTAGGACCTCCACACATATGCCCCTGCATATTTGAAGATGCACGCACTTACTTACACACACACACACACCCCACACACCCCCACACCCCGGAATGAACAAAGAAACAAAAAGGGGATTTAGGACCTACAAATGCTTGTGTCACCTGAAACTATTATTTTGGTTATCAAGTTCGTTTAAGATCAGCCATCGTCCCTTTAATCCCAGCATTCGTGAGGCAGAGGCAGACGGATCTCTTTGAGTTCGAGGCCAGCCTGGTCTACAGAGCTAGTTCCAAGACAGGCTGCAAACCTACAGAGAAACCCCATCTCGAAACAAAACAAACGAAAAAAGGTCAACTATCGTCAAAACTTAGCTTTTCTCACTTTTGCGAGGGTGAGATGAATGAGAATCTCTTTCCATAACTTAGCTCAAGGCAGTGGGAATCATTCATTTGATTTCCTTTTCTCTTCCCAAGAAGGCACCCTAGGGGCTAGCTGTCACCTGAGCTCTGGAAGAACAATCGAAGAAGTCCTGGATCTCTTTTTTGCACGCCTCGTCGCGGAATTCATTCTGTTTCCAGCAAGCCATCATCATCGACATCTCTGTGATACAGGTCGCCTCTGGAAGGGAAGAACTGGAGGACCTTCAGTCACCGGCTGACCTTATATCTCTCCCGCACGCCTACCCAGCCACCCCCGCTCCCAGTGCTCACCGCCCTTCTCTCGGCGTCTGTTCCCGACAGAGTTAGCTAGGATAAGAGGCTTGTTGGGTTTCAGGACAGGTTTCCCTGGGTTCGCAAACCGCGCCAAGCGGCCGCGCAAACTGGGAGTCGCCATTTTGCAAGGCGTTCCCAGTAGGCTCCGCGCGCTGTGCGTGACCCATCTTGACCCTTACGCTCTTGGCGTGCGGCCCACGGAGAGACGTGCGGACGCTTTCCTTGTCTTGGCCTCAAAGCATCTCCAGGCTCCAACCCTGTCCGACCCACGCTAGGATGCTGTTGTGCGCCGTCCCGGACCATGCCTTTGCGGACTCGGGGAGCAGGCAGGACGCTTGGGCTCCGCGTCGGAGGCTGCCACCTGCTGAGTGCTGTGTCGGCGCAGGCCAAAGGGAAGGCGTCGGATCCCCTGGGCCTGGCGTTAAGGTTGTTGGGTTGGAAAAGATTGTTTTTTACAAACCTCTAAGAGTGGCTGATTTTTAAAACTCTTAGAACCATTCTAAAACCTCAAGGAGAATTCGGCTTGTTTGTTTTACTAATTATAACTGCTGTGTAGGTGCTGTTTATTCGTTTGGAATGACCACGCCGTAAGGTGGAAGATTGTAATATTTATGAATAACATTATATATATATATAATATTTAACATTATTATATTTACTTATATCATTCCCATTTATAGAACTGGATCTCCAGTTGTTGTTGACTTTTAGCTCTTTACAAAACCAAATCCAGAGATGTGCCAGACACCCAAAATAAACTCCCAAGACATTTCTGCTACTGGAAGTGGAATCCAGCAATCATGTAGTTCATATGATTTCTACTTTAGGGCACGATGTACTGCGTGGGTACATTCATATTAAAATTGTTTACACGGATGTTCGGAATGCTCCCTGAATGACCGACACGGATGACTTTTCTTCCAGAGTTTTCCCTCTCCTGCCGCTCTACCCAGCACCCACCACAGTCTGAATCTTTGTTTGTGACCTTATCTACCCCAACATCTGCTTTGAAAGGGTAGCTCCATGGTTAAGAGTGCTTCTGGCTCTTATAGCGACTTAAGAGTTTGGTTCCCAGCATCCATTTCGCAGGGCTTACAATCGTCTGTACCTCCAGCTCCCTCAGGGATGTTCTCTTCTGGCCTTCATAGGCAACACACAGACAGACACACACCTAAAGAATATTTTTGAATATCTTTTTTTTAAAATACATTTAAAATGAGAGGAGCAGACTTTGTGCATCTTGTTTATTGCTAAATCCCCAGTGTTTAAAATAGGTGTCATGCCAAATGTGTGGCATATGCCTGTAATCCAAGCACACTTGGGTCTGAAGCCAGGCTACATTACATAGCCAGTCATCAGGCAAGGCAGGGACACATATGACCCTGCCTCAAAAAAAAAAGTTAAACGAATAAATGTTTACCATTATTTTTTTACAAGTCTGCAATTTAATCATCCCCCATCCTCAAATGTTAAGCAATAGAGGCCAGCAAAATAGCTCACTGGGTGAATAAAGGTGCTGCCACTAAGCCTGATGATATTCGTTCAGTCCCTGGGACCACATGGTGGAAAGAAAATTGAACTCTTGCAAATTATTTTCTGACATACACATGTACAGGGTAGAACAAGCTACCACACACATACATGTAATAAGTGTAATTTTAAAAAAGTAATCAAATAGAAGACACTATGTAAAAAGCAATTTATTATATAAGATGAATCTTGAGATAATAAAAAATAGTAACACTTGCCATCAGCCTTGTGTTCTACCCCATATTCTGGTAAATAAAAGACTCCTATCAGAAACTTCTACCACTAGTACCCATGACCTGCAGCAAATACTTGGTGCTGTACACATAGCTGAGCCCACAAAAGGAAAAAAAAAAATCATTTTGCTTGCTTTCTCCATATGGAAAGTAAAGCTTTGTCATTGGTAAATATGACGTGGCCACTCACAGTTCTTCCCTTTGGGAAATGTAGCACCTGATTTACCCTGGTCTTGTGACTATAACATGATAGGATAAAGGACAGTCTGGGTAGCACTTAGCAAAAAGCAAGCTTGATTGTCCAGCAACAACCATTTATGAATAACAGGCTCACCTGGTGCATAAAGTGCTAAAGAACCCAGGCAGTGGTGGCACACACCTTTAATCCTAGCACTTGGGAGGCAGAGGCAGGTAGATCTCAGTGAGCTCGAGGCCAGCCTGGTCTACAGAGTGGGTTCCAGGACAGGCTGCAAAGCTACAGAGAAACCCTGTCTTGAAAGACAACAAAAAAAGTGCTAAAATACTCATGCGAGCTGCGGGTCCTGTACTTTGTATAACCATCACTTACCTTTCTTGTTGCTCATATGCTATCTGAGTTCTAATCTTGATTGCACTTGTCTAAGTTACTTTGCTATAGGAATATCTATCTATCCTCTTTCTCTTTTTTTCTCTCTCCTCTTTTTCTCTCTCTGACAAGATCTCATTATATAGCTCTGGCTGGCCTGGAACACTAACTAGACCAGGATAGTCTCAAACTCACAGAGATCCACTTGCTTCTGCCTCTCAAAGTACTAGAATGCTGAAACTTAAAGTGTGTGCAACCATGCCCATCTACACACACACACACACACACACACACACACACACACACATCTTGCTATTGTATATTGTAGCCCTGGCTTACTAGCACTCATGAACTCACCTCTCTGTGATACTTTTTAAAACATCTTTTCTTCTTGTTCTCTATAAGAGACCAAACAGGTTAAAAATTTTCATGCTACTATGAAGGCATTTTTAACTAAATAAAGGTCTGGGAGTATAACTCAGAGCCAGAGCACACGCTTAGCATGCACAGGGCCTTGGGGTCCTACTCTCCGCCCCCCCCCCACACACACACAAAAGAAGAAGAAGAAAAAACTTTAGAAATGTAATTTCAACCTTTGCTTAAACTTTTCTTGGTCACATCCTTAGATATCACAATGGTTTGTTTTTTTTGTTTTTTGAGACAGGGTTTCTCTGTAGTTTTTGGAGCCTGTCCTGGAACTAGCTCTTGTAGACCAGGCTGGCCTCGAACTCACAGAGATCCGCCTGCCTCTGCCTCCCGAGTGCTGGGATTAAAGGCGTGCACCACCACCACCCAGCCAGATATCACAATGTTAACCGTGAAGCCTGGCTGCTAAAGGGTCTAACATGCATATGTATCTATCTGTATAGATATTCACAGGAACCTGCAGTTTACAACCATATACTGATAAACCATGAGATCTCTTTAGTGATAATGCAGTAACACAATAAGCATAGCTCTAAGGTCCAAGGCATTCTTTGTTATAACCCCAGGAAATACTCATCTCCTGGGTAAGCTACAGCAGTAGACAGTTGGTCTGCATCTGATATGTATGGGTGTTTTGCCTGCATGTATGTCTGTGTAGCATACTTGCACCTGGTGCCCAGAGGCTAAAACAGGGATTGAACCCTCTGGAACTGGAGTTAGACAGTTGTGAGCTGCTATGTGGGTGCTGGGAATCACACCTGGGCCCTCTGGAAGAGCAGCCAGTGCTCTTAACAGTGGAGCCATCTCTCCAAGCTGAAAGCTGAAGTTTTTATTTAGCTAGCCACTTATGGTGGCTTAAATCCCTTGCCATTTATTTATTTATTTATTATGTATACAATATTCTTTCTGTGTGTATGCCTGCAGGCCAGAAGAGGGCACCAGACCTCATTACAAATGGTTGTGAGCCACCATGTGGTTGCTGGGAATTGAATTCAGGGCCTTTGGAAGAACAGTCAATGCTCTTACCCTCTGAGCCATCTCTCCAGCCCCCTCCCTTGCCTTCTTCAGTCTCTTTGAATTGGGCCGGTTTCATAAAAGGAAAAAAAAAATCTCAATACTAGGGTTGCAGCTACTCAGTCAGCAGACTGCTTGCTTTCCTAGAACCACAAAAAACCCAGAAACTCAGCAACATAAAACTGTCTGAAAAAATGTGAGTAATGAATTGAATAGATCTTTCCAGCCCTACAACAGGTTAGCTACTTAATCTGTTCATGAGAGAAGGACTTCCAAATATACCCCGAACAAGAAATCCAAGCAGTAAGAATGATGGAGATGGTTGTAGATCTTCCCTGGGTTTGTGGAAATAGTCTAAAGTCAGAAAGAAAGGGCCACTTAAAATTATGATGTTTGATTTTAAAGACTGTGCAAGTATCTTAAAGTAACATGAAGAGCTGGGCATAGTGTTGCACACCTACAGCCCAGCTTCTTAGAGGCCGAGGTCCAGGAACTGGCGGCTAGCTTAGACCACAACCCCAGTTTTGCCTCTCCACCAGTGAAACAGCTGATAAGAAAAGCAAGATGAGGAAAAGACACTCTTGAGAAAGGTACTAAATGACGGGCGTTTTAGATCCCAGCCTGACCCATCCTGTCCATATCTGAAATGATGAAATCCCTAGAGGTGAGAAGCATACTGGAGTCAAATGGGTGCTTCAGCTGCTCTACTACCATAGACTGAGATACTAGCTCCATACCATTCAGGCACAGTGGAGAGGGCTAGGGTACCTGCCTAGCATTCTCAAAACCTCAAGTTCCATCCCCAGTACAGGGCAGGAGAATCAGTGAAGACATCAAGGTAGACGATATTCACTAAAGGTTACAGTGGATAGGCCTTTGGTGCCACAGTAAAAGTCTCCAGACGTCTTCCACGCTAAAGGCTCTTGCAAGGGCAGTTAGAGATTTTTATTCCTTTTCATGAAGATCTGATGTACATAATCCCAAAATTTCCTCTGCTGTGTTTCATTGTTGTGGATCATAGCAGTGAGAGCTTCCCCCTGATAGAGACCTTGCCAATAATCTTGTAGCCACATTTCCTTCCAGCTGAAATGACAAAACAGGAGAGCAGTGAATTAGGGAACCACAGCGATAGCAAAGAAATCATAAGCAGGACTGGGCAGTGGTGACACACACTTTTATTTATTGTTTTTAAATCAAAACCCAGACTTAGGGTCTTTTTTCTTTTAAGTTTATTTATTTATTTAGTATACAGTGTTCTGTCTACATGTATGCCTGCAGGCCAGAAGAGGGCACCAGATCTCACTATGGATGGTTGTGAGCCATCATGTGGTTGCTGGGAATTGAACTCAGGACCTCTGGAAGAGAAGTCAGTGCTCTTAACCACTGATCCATCTCTCCAGCCCGACACACACTTTTAATCCTAGCATTTAGGAGGCAGAGATGGGGATATCTGAATTTGAGGCTGGCCTAGTCTACAAAGAGAGTTCCAGGACAGCAAGTCTACACAGAGAAGCCCTGTCTCAAAACAAAACGAAAACAAATAAATTTAAGGCTCTGGATAGGACAAGGCTCTTCTGTGAGGGAAGGGAGATATGGAGTAAAAGTAACACTAGCTCAAGAGATAGGAAGTAGGTCATAAACACGGACATCATAGTTCACCCAAGAAGCTGACATTGCTCACTTGCCTCCAGCTCCCAAACGTAAAGGGAGTAGAGAAGTCACAGTAGGATTCAGAGCGTGTAAACAGTACTCTAGTGGCAAGCCAGTATACAGTATCAAAATTCTCTGTCTATTTTCCATCTTTGTACAGCTTTGTTTTAACCTCTATTTCGTTTATTTTTACTTTTAACTTTTTGCTTTTTAGACAGGTTCTCTGTATCTTTGACCTGGAATAACTCTGTAGACCAGGCTGTCTTTGAACTCTCAGAGATCCGCCTGTCTCTGCCTCCCAGGCATTCGGGATTAAAGGTGTATGCTACTACACCTTGAACTCACAGAAATCTGTTTGTCTCTGCCTTCTAGGCACTGGGATTAAAGGCATGTGCTACCACACCCTGAAGTCACAGAGGTCGATCTCCCTCTGCCTTCCAAGTGTTGGGATTAAAGGTGTGTACTACCACACACAACAACTCTCTTCCTTTTTTTTTTTTGTTTTTTACTTTAAGAACTTCAACTTTTAGTCTGCATATATTTTTAACACACTGTAAACTATTTAAAAATTTTCTTTCTCTTTGAATCTCTCTTTACTCTTTTCTGACCACAAGTCTTTAATTTACCAAGCAATATCAGTAGGATTAAAGGCGTGGCTTTGTTGGCTAGATGTAGCCCATTCCTTAGCTTTCCAGCCTCATGGCTGAGGTACTGGCTGTAGCCGTGTTTACTGCCACAACTCTATGGCATTTCAAGGTCCCTGCTAGCAAGCGAGCTTCATCAGCCTGTGCTTGCAAACCACACGAACCGCCTGCATAAAAGAGTCAGAGTTTGCCCTGGCAGGACAGCTGGCATTTTTAAACGGCGCAGCTTTTTTCCTGCTACGGCTGAAAACAGAAAAGCATGCGTTCAGCTTTTCGTCAACACCATTTAAGTGTTTCGTGGCAGGACCTCTTAATGAGCTGCAGGGTTTTGCAGCTAAAGCTGAGTCAGGAAGCCTCTATTAAATTGCAGCTACCAAGAAAACATGCTCTTCTCTTTCCCAAGCTTTCTCAGGCTTTCAGTGGATTCAGTTGTCCACACGTCTGGGCGCTAATCTGTAGTAATAAGGGGGCGACGGAGCTGCGTTCCCAGCACCCCGGCCGCCTGCTCGGCTAGCTTATGCCCCGAAATAATTACACGGACACTGTATTCTTTTAAACACTGCTTGGCCCTTTAGCTCTAGCCCTTACTGGCTAATTCTGATATCCCGATCAACCCATCTCTAATAATCTGTGAGCACCGGTCTGGGAAGATTCTAGGTCCATCCTGGGTCGGAGCTGAATTGCGTCTGCCCGGGAGAGCAGAGCATGGCGTCTCTCTCTCTCTGAGGTATCTGTTCCCGAGAGGAGAGCTGTGGAGTCTGAGCTCACTTCCTCTTCCTCCCAGCGTTCTGTTCTGTTTACTCCTCCCACCTATCTTCTAACCAATGAGGGCCAAGCAGTTTCTTTTTATTTAACCAATGACGTTCCTCCATCACACACCTCAGCCTAGTAAGAGCATTTTGGAAGGAGCCCCCCACCCCCACCCCAGTTATCAGTCCAACATATACTAGAGTCTCACTGTGTAGTGTGGGCTGACCTCTTTCTTGTGATCTTCCTGTCTTGGCCTTCCAAGTGCTGAGATTAGAGGAGTGAGCCTCCAAACCCATGAAAGGCACTAAAGCACTTCGACCATTTTATGTGTAAAGAAGCCAGGGCCTTGGATATGCAAAGCAAGCACAGTACCATTGAGCTGCACCCCAGCTCCTTTGATTTGGACCATATCCTGATTTGTTCACTCTAGACAGAATTGAAGGAATGCTTTCAATAGGTGTATGATTGACATTGGCCATCAGTGTGGGGTAGAGGGAAGTGAGCAGGAAGCAGAATAGACCTGTGTTGGGAAAATGTTGAAACCACCTGCAGCAAGCCACAGTTGGTTTGGAGAGGGGTTCCAAGAGTCGCTCACAGAGAGTGACTTCACCAGTGGCTGGCAGCAGAGGGCTGCTTCCTGTGCTGCTGGCACAGTAGAGTCCTCATGGCGGAATCTTTCACTCATAGTCTTATCAGTTTACACTGAACACATTATGATTTACTAGAAGAAGAAAAAAAGACATTAGGGAAATAGCCAGGGATGGTAGTGCTTACTTGGAATTCTAATGCCAAAGAGACAGAGGCAGGAGGATCAGGAATTCAAAGCCATAGTTGGTCATGTGCAGTGAGTCTGAGGCGATAGTGAGCTGAGACCTGACAGTGAGGTGAAGACCATCTGAAGGCCATGCTCTCTTTGAATTGTTTGAATGCTGAGGAAGGAGCAACAGCTGCTAAAAGATATTTGTTTATAAATGCTGCTGAACTAATCCAACATAGATATTTTGATGCCTTGACTTTGAAATTTGGATCTAAGGACATGATGCTTTGGAAAGGAGTTTCTTATTTTGTTTTCATAGAGGATGAGACCCTGTTCATTTCTTCTATTCCGATTTGGTATGATGGACCACGTCCTCCTGAAGGGTTGCTGTGAACATCTTCAGAAAATTGCTTTGCTCAACTGCCAACTGAGATGAAACTAGCACACAGGTTATACCATGAAAGACCTAATTAACGACGCCCCCATTCAGCAAGAAGCAGTTTGGAGAGAAAAAACTGCGCCCTTGTTTCCAAATATGGTTTATAAACGTTCTTTTACATTTAAAGGGGGATATGATATAGATATGAATAATTTGCATTAGTATAGATTTTGCTTTATTGATAGAGATTTAAGGTCAATTTTGTTATACGTATAAGTGTTTCTGATTTTGATTAAGGTATTGTGATTGTGTAATTCATTTAAATATGTAATGTATAATTAGGAAATATAGGTTGTTGATGGATAATCATAAATAATAGTCAAGTTTCTAGTCATGTTAGTTAATATTTTCTAGATGTGCGTAGATATATTTTAGATAGGCATTCTTCATATTTTTCAAAGATTATAGAATATGGCATTTTAAATGTTTTAATAACTGAGGACTTTTCATGACAACGAGACACTCTGCTCCTGGCAGCACCAATGTACTTCAAGAGGAAGATGGGCATCGAAGAGGCTCGTTATGGAGTTTGATAGCAATTTGGGCAAGAAACTGCTCTTGCCTGGACTATTGCATAAACTGGACACAGAGAACCCGCAGAGAGAGGGCTACTGAACTTGCCTAAGGTGAGATGATCTTTCAGGGTTCCTGATTCATGAAAAGAGTCTGCGAGACATTCTGCAGGACACAACAGATAGTGACTGAACTGACTTTGAATTTTCCTGCTTTATGGAAATGTCTGCTGGATACCATGGGCCTGAAGGCTGAAGATGGATGCCCCAACGGTACAGAGGAACTTTGGGTGACTGTCCAGGCAGCGAGATGTCTCTGTCATTTCTAGAGTTTTAAAAGTTGCTTTTTTCTTGTTTGCTTAGGTAGTATTGTATCTTTCTGGAGTCTTTGATGGAGTTAAGAATAGTTATAGTTATAGTTTTCCTTAGTTATGATAAAGACTATTGTAACTTTTACTTGATAACTGTTTTGTTATATGTAATTTTGCTATGTAAAAGTTAAAGCCTTTTTTTTTGTTGTTTAAACCGAAAAAGGGGAAATGGTGGAGGAAGGTCATTGGTTAAATAAAAAGAAACTGCTTGACCCTCATTGGTTAGAAGAGTGGGAGGAGTAAACAGAACAGAACGCTGGGAGGAAGAGGAAGTGAGCTTAGACTCCACAGCTCTCCTCTTGGGAACAGACACCTCAGAGAGAGAGACGCCATGCTCTGCTCTCCCGGGCAGACGCAATTCAGCTCCGACCCAGGATGGACCTAGAATCTTCCCGGACCGGTGCTCACAGATTATTAGAGATGGGTTGATCGGGATATCAGAATTAGCCAGTAAGGGCTAGAGCTAAAGGGCCAAGCAGTGTTTAAAAGAATACAGTGTCCGTGTAATTATTTCGGGGCATAAGCTAGCCGAGCAGGCGGCCGGGGTGCTGGGAACGCAGCTCCGTCGCCCCCTTATTACTACAGGTGTGACTGGGTGGAAAAGTACTCTCCTAGCAAGCAGGAGGACCTGGATTTAATCTCCAGCACAGCCAAAATTCTCTTTGTACTCCCCACCTCGGCATCAAAGGTATTCAGCTGAGGTGATGATCCTTGGTAGCCTGGCCTAAGGTTCTCTCTCTGTCACCTCCACACACAGCACTGAGATTACAGGTGTATCCACCACACTCAGCTCCCTACTTATTCCTGACATCTTATAGCAAAGTGAGCCGCCTGTATCGTCTTTTCTAGTTCCCTCCACCCTAAGAAAGCAAGCAGTTTGATGTGACAGCGGCAGGGCGTCCCAGTAACCCTACCTGTCATTCTCAGGAATCTCTTCAACTTTGCCAAAGCCAGGGGTAGGCACTGGGCAGTTCATGTGTGAGGGCTCAGCAATGTGAGGCTCAGGGACAGGAACCTCCCCAGGAGAGGCTGCGCGGGCTTTCTCTTTTTCTAGCCGAGCCAGTTCATGGTCACAGACAAAACACTCAAAGCCATTGAGGTAGTTAGGCAACAAAGGATCATTCACTCCCCACTTCCTGTGCTCCAGGCTATCCAGGAGAAACTGGTTGGTGATACCCCCTGGTTGCTTGTATGCCAAGTATTTCAAGTACTCTTCATCATTCTTGTCCAGAAAGTCAATAAACTCTGCCAGCTTTTGAGGGGACTCAAAGTCATCAATTAGGATGATGGAGTGGTTATTGGGCATCCAATCCCTCACAGAGGGTGAGCCACGATACACAGGCACTGCACCCAGATGCATGGGGCGCCACAGTTTCTCTGTCATGTAGTCATTGCAAATGGCATTTTCCAGGGCCAAATGGAACTTATAGCGGGACAAGAAGTCCAAGAGTTCTGGATCCTCGGTGGTGGCAGTGGCTGTGTCCTGTAACCGCACGGTGGGCAGCTCGCGGTTCTGAAGGCACTTGCCATAGGAATCCACCTAAGCGAGGCAGAGCACGGAGGTCAGCAGGGTGCAGCGTTCGCCCGGTCCACCCCCTCCCCGCCACGCAGCTTTCTCACCCACCGGGATGTAGCGCATGAGCTCGCGTACGTAGCGGTCCCGGTCCGAGGGCACATCGCAGTGGGACTGCAAGTAGAGCAGCGGCGCGTACCCGCGACGACGCCACTCGGTGCGTTCCCGGAGCGGAGGCGCAGGCCGGAGCAAATAGGGAACCCCGGGCAGCCATTGCAGCGGCAGTGGGTAGTCCGAGTGGCGGCTGAAGGTGGCCGTGAGGTTGAAGAGGCGGATCCCAGGGCCGTGGCTCAGCAGGAAGTTGTTGAGCGGCGACTCCTCGTGCAGCAGCGCCCAGCTCTGGTGCCTCAGGCGCGGAAGAGGTGCGTCGGCTGCGCGGAAGTCGGTGCCGTAGAAAAGCAGTGCGCGCGTCCGCGGGTCGGCGCGCGACCGTCGGTCCCGGGACGCCACGCACGCGCCGTGAGCACATTGGATGCGCTCCGAGTCGCCCGGGAAGTGTGGAAAGAGGCCTGGGCTCCACCACAGCAGCACCGGTAGGTCGGCAGTCTCCTTGGTCCCCGGCGGCGGGGACTCCGGCCCGCGCGCCACCCCCACTGCGCCTAGCGCAGCTGGCGGACGGAAAACTGCGCCGTCCCAGGGCTCCGCCCATTCTGCCTCCCCACCCGCCTTTCCCGAAATCCCGGACCGGGAGCTGCTGGCCGCACAGACACTGAGCAGCCCCAGGGCGGTCAGCATCGTCTCGGTGCAGTGAGCAGCCATGTCCATAGCGGATCCACTTGGACAGCACGAAACCCCGCCCTGCGGCGAGTAGAGAGCTGACCCGGTCCTACGCCACAGAGACACACAGCGCATGCGCGGCTCCTCGCACCCGCAGGCGGGCTGGAAGAGGTCATGAGTAATAAAAAGAGTACTGTTACATCTTATTTTATTTCTTTACAAATTAAAGATGCATTGAAAAATAAACCAATGAAAAGAAATGAAAGGTCCAGAGCAGGGGCATCCCAGGCTGGGAGCAGGCAAGCCTGACCACCATCAATCATAGCCCTTGTCCTGCCCCAGCCAATTGGAGTTGGAAGATAATTGTCAGCCACTCAGTCAGTATCAAGCCCGGTTATGTCCTGGCACAGGAAGACAGGGAGGGCTCCAGCCATCTCTGCCTCTCCCCAGCAACGCCCGGGTTAAGCTGTGTTTCTGGTGGGAGCTGAGTGGGATGTGGGCTGGCTCTGTGAGGTATTGCAAGTTGACCATCAGGCTCTCTACAGAACCATCCAGTATTAGGGCTTCTTCAGCTGGAAAGGAGGCTGCTACCTCCTCTAGGTGTTAATATGCTTTGCAATTCAGTCCCAGGCTCACTCATCTCTAGCTATGTGCTTCTGTCCATGAAGTGCTTACCAATCATAGCAGGAGAGAGAACGCCCACAATGGAAATAGACAACTAGTCATTCATCCTCAGTAACTACGACCTTGCTACTGACCACCAGGCCCCCGAAGGACCAACTACTACTCTCCACCACCTACAGTCTATACCCCAGCTCTTATGCACCTGTATATTTTATCCCTAATATAGGAAGTTGTTGATGACACGGAGCTGAATTTGCCACCTCCTGTAATAACCCTGGGATTCCCACTCCTTCCTGCCTGCCCCTTTCCTCTTGGAGGCTGGTCCAAAGAGACACAGTATTGCCAGGGCCTTGCTGCCCCCAAACCCCCAACACCGGATCATATACAGTGAACTGATAAACTACATTCATTACAACTGGATTAGCAGGAGAAAGAGGGTTGAGTAAGGGGTCTGGGGCACCTTCCATCAGCAGGACATGACAGAGCGGTAAGATATTTGAGCCCAGAAAGGTGTCTCCTTTTATCTTGCCCTCCCCCCCCCTAAAGAGACTGAGGTCAGCTTATATGACTCATAAGATATGAAACTGTCCCAGTTTTCTCTGCCATCCTGGGGTACTTTCTGGAAGCTGGCCTGGGACCCTATACCATTTACCCACTTGCTTTAGCTCAGTAGCTGCCGAATCTCCTTATGCATATGACAGAGAAAGTCCACATAGGATGCCCCTCCGCTTAGGCTCTTGTCTTCCACGAGGAAGTGTTTGAACAGCATCTCCAGCTTGTCTTCCTGTTTCACCACGATAAGCTACGGCCAGAAGGCAGGTTGTGAGGAAAGGCTAATGGCAAGGAAGTCTTTAGACTCTCCCTCCCCATGCTCCTTCTTGCTGACTTGACAGGGTAAAAAAAAGTCTAGGAATCAGATCAGCGTTGCTATGCTGAGGCTGTAGCTTAATGAGAGTGCTTGCTACAGAAGGCCTAGGGTTCAATATCCAGCATGACCACCAAACACAACATCTGTGTTACCTTCATGTACCGCATTCTCTGTGCCCGTAAGCTATCAATGAGGCTTCGAACCTTCTTGGACAGTGGATTATCCAGAACTGGCAGAACACTCTGGAACAAAAATTCACTAATTACTTTAAATCCATCAAGAGAAATCATAGCACTTGGGAGGCAGAGGCAGAGGCAGGCAGATCTCTGTGAGTTTGAGACCAGCCAGGTCTACAACAGCTAGTTCCAGAACAGGCTCCAAAACCACAGAGAAACCCTGTCTCGAAAAACCAAAAAAAAAAAAAAAAAAATCATCAAGAGAGCAATAGATTTCGGCACCATGTGACAGGAGGAAGCCTGAAGACACTGGACAGCACCTCCCCTTGCCACAGTGTCCTCAGATATGTAAAGGGACCAGCACAATGACTGCACTGATTCTCTGTCAAATCACCAAAGTGTTTTCCTATACTCATATTATCCTTGGCACCCTGTTCTCACCAAGCCACTGGTGATCTGACTGAAAGAGGAGACGTTGAAAAGGCTCTGGACAACACCTTGTTGGACACTTGCTCCCACCCAGACAAAGAGGTTGAGCCCATTTTCCAACAAATATATATCGCCACTGCTTAAACGCTCTTCAGACGCTCGAACTGCTGGTGGTTCAGTGGTATTGTCGATGGGAGATTTTGTCTAAACGAAAAGGGAAAAAAGTTACCAAGAACTGTAAGACACTCCTTTACACAAATAAACTCAGAAAGCTAAGTCTCTAGATAGTAATGTGAAATGTACGTAAAAAATTCCTCAGTGTCAGCAATAAAGTAATTCCATCCCCTCCTTCTTAGAGGCCCTGTCCTCAGTACAAAGTCTCACACTCCAATCCTCAATCGCACCAGTGGGAGGAGCCGAGGGTAGAAGAAGACATTGGTCTCAGCCACATCCATGGAGGAAACCAGCTGTCGAACATAGGCCCGGTCATCAGTAGTGACCTCAGCGACAGGCTGCAGAACATCACTCTTCAAGACACAGTTCAGGTAAACTGGGAGCAGCTTCATACACTCGGGAAGGATCAACTGAGGGGTTTATGGAAATAAAGTCAATGATCACGGGAAATCCCTCAAAACTGCAAAATTTTGCTGAAAAAAAATCCCCTCACTAACATCCCTGCCCCACCTGTCCTGCAGAGGAAGGGCTGGCACAGTTCTTTCTATAGCAGGCCAGGATCTGGGCACACTGGGTGATCAGAGTGTCACGTACAGTCTTCACAGGGCTATTCAGAACACCCCGGTATGCTGCACGGGAAGGAGAAAGAGCAGTCCTGGTCAACTTCCTGACCCATGCCCCTTGCCACCATCACACCTAACCAGGAGTGCTGACCTGCTGGCCATCTTGGACCTTCCTTTCATCGTCATCCCACCCCGCCCTGTTTCTACCCTCACCAAACTTGGCCATGTAGTTGATGAGCGTGTCTGTTTCACAGTTTCGATACAGATCAGCCAACTGGGTGCAGCAGTTTAGGGCCAGGTTGTGGATGCGAAGCCGACGCTGCCCTGCACAGCTGGTATAAAGCAGGGCACACTAGGGGAAGGGAGAAAGGGGGAACTCACACCCCTCCCTCACAGTTATACCCACCCTTATCATCTTCCCATGGATGCCTCCAGCACTTTCTCACCCCCGCCCCGTCTCCCGCCTGCCACCTGCAGCAGGGCTCCACTCTCTTCATTGAGCCGGTCATCATGCTTGAATTCTACAGTCACTGTCTTGTCCTCATCCAGGCCAGCCAACTCCACATCTGTTGTATTGCTCATGTAGAAAGCTCCAAAGAAATCTACAGCACGGATACCTGAAGCCACAGGGACAGGTCAGGGTTAAAGGTAGGACATGTGCCTCAAGCGGCTTTAGCCTTACCCAGAACTTACCGGTACTTGTCCGAACCCGCATCACAGCGTCAAAGCCCACCACCTTCTGTACGTCCCGACGCAGGTCACTCAAGAACCGTTCCTGGTCATTCTCCACCTACAGCCCAGGCCCAGAGACATACCACTGACCATACAGCTCACCCTGTAGTAAGTCTCCCTGCATCCCTTCCACTCTACAAGCCTGCTTCACCATAGTCACAGTGAAAATCAGGATGATTAGGACAAGGAAGCTTTTATGGATTCGTGACATATCAGGTAACAGAGTATTTCATATGCGATTGTTTAATTCTGTAGACAAATCCTAACTAGTAAACTCTACTTTGAAGACGAAAGGACAAAAGATGAGTAATTAAGTGATTATCCTATGCCAGTTAGTGAGGGGGATTCAATATCAACCCAGGACTGACCCGAAGACCCAGGCACCTAACCACTATACTCTGGGCTCAACCTCATGCACCACTAAGTCAGTAGCTAAAGAGCCACTCCACATATAAGCAGATATTCCCACACCCAGAATTCTATACCTGAAAGCAGGCATATTTGTAGACAGAGCCTCCAGTGAGCTGGGGAACAACAGAGAGTGTGGCCACATCTACATATTGGTTAGGGAAGAGGAAGAGGTCCACACAGCAGCCTTGAGTCACACAGTCTTTGGCCAGAGTCTGATAGGTACCTGTCTGAGGCTGGAACAGAGTCTGGAGGGGAACAGAAGAAATGTCATATGTAAAATGAAAAACTCACACTTTCACGACTTTAGACCCACCACCTTGTCATTCCAGCAGTAGAAGAAAGTTGGAAGGAAAAGGAGAAAGGAAGGGAAGGAAAAAGAGAAAGGAAGGGAAGAAAAATGAAAAGAAAATGAAAATGTGCAGGTATGTTCAGGCACACCTATAATCCCATCACACAGGAAGCAGAGACAAGATCACTACAAGTATGAGGTCAGCTAGGCTACACAGTGAGTTCCAGACCAGCCTAGACTACATAGCTAGATCAAATCTCAAAAAAAACAAAAATGAAAAAGAAAAATTCAAGTCCACCAAAATTTTGTGAGCGGGTTGGCAGTAATAGATGGGACACGTGAGAGGGCAGAATGTAATCCCAGTCCACCTGGCTAATGTTACAAGAGTTGACATTGGAACGTTACCACCTTCCTCTGTAATGGGAGGTCTCTCTCCCTCTCAAGCCACACACCTTCTCCTTGTCTGTGTTGATTAACTTCCTGTCATCTCTATTCTTTAGCTTCCCTGGGGCCTCTGCAATGGGCAAGGAAGTGTGGAACAGAAACAGCTTTCCTGCACACTCAGCAGCCTAGGAAAAAAGATAAAATTACTCAACCATTCCTCCCTTTATTCATCCATTATACACTCATCTTTTTCTTTATATTAGGCACGAACTGTGTGAAAAGGGCTAACTTGCTAGACAGTTATCAGTCACTAAGGCTGTCTTCTAGAGGAAAGCAAGAGAGAAGGTTGCCCGGGACTCCTACGTTACCTTCAGAGCTTCCATTCCAGCCTGGATAACCGGGGCGAATACTGTCTCTGTCTCTCTTGTGTCTGCAAACATTTCTGGGA